AAAGAAAGAAAGAAAGAAAGAAAGCAAAACAACAACATGGAACCACACTATGGGTAATTAGTTGAAGAAACTTACTCAATAACTAACCATACGAACCATGGTTCAGCACTCCCCAAACCGCCCAACCACGACGCAAAGAATGGGAACTGCCCGTCGATCGCCTCCCAGAAGGGCAATCTTAAAGAAGATTCGACACGACCTTCCACAACCACCTGGAAAGCTTAATCTGCCCCCGAGGCGGTCAACAAAGAAAGTTCACGGTTTGAGTCCACTTGTCAACTAATTGAACCTTTCGGTCGGAAACCGCGGGAATGTGCAATGGATCTGCCTCTTTGAGTCTCATCTAATGAGACGAGGGATGATTATGCTTCCCATTCTTTGGAGACGGGATCCACTGATTGACCGTTGTGAGCGGTGAGGAAACACTCCGGAGTAGTATTCATCGTGAGACTCATATGAACACCGTGTACTCCGTACCTCACCCAGCGACTATGTACATACTAGTTTTGTAGATCCTCTCAACAGATTCCTTGTGCGGTGGATAGTGAGGCACACACGGGATCATAATCGGGTCAGAACTCCAAAAGATTTGCGAGATTCTCCCGAGACTCCGGATCAATAGATGGAAGACCATTCACCCGGCCTGTCGGGTTCGTGTTCTTCCCAATCTCCTCGATTTATTTTTAGCCTTCGCTTAACAGGAGAGGTACTCCAGTACATACGCATACATATCCCGACCGCCTCGACAACAACAACATACCGTCCACATTTCTTCAACTACGTAACTATGTAACTATCCAAATACCCCAGCTGAAACTCATACCGAGACGATGGTCAGAGTCTAACAAATGTAAAACAAAACAATCCCCCCCGTTTTCAGATCTGCGTTACATTCCCCCCGTCGATCTCCTGCTCCTGGACTAGTCCTATCTGAGTCCTAGTTGGCCGGTTTAGGGTTATCTTAACTTTCACTGCAAGGGGGTCATTCATCAACGCAGTTGCATGAAAGAAAGCGTGGCTTTTTTCTTTTTTTTCTTTTTTCTTTTTTCCGGTTCTTTCTTTCTTTGTTTCAATCCCGGTCGCAACTGTCGTGCAACTCATTCACCGGCTTAAGATTTTGGCTAGTGCATGTAAGGAGCAAGGTTTAGCGGTGGCTCTGTTTTTAGCGACAGGTGAGGCGATAAGGATTATTGAATAGATTCAGCATGTTACGCCTGCGGTCATTCAGGGGTCATATGGTCATGTGGGAATAGGAGGACGTTCTTTCCGGGGCGACGATCAGTTGATCGCGTTGAGAGCTGCTTTGCTTTTGTGGGGGAGCTAACTGGTCCTGGGTAGGATCGCTTTGTTCGCTGGGGGTAAGTTTTATATATATCTATATCGCCACGTGCATATGTACGACTACATCATACGCGGTGATAGGGTTATTGAAACTATCGATTCAGAGAGGTCGTGCTTTGAATAGCCTAGAATTCTTTGTGTTGATTATTTGTATCGAAGCGACTAGCTCGTGCAACTATATATTCATCATGAAGGCTAAGAGATTTGGTCAAAGGATTAACTGCGCCTTTGAATCGCCACACTTCTTAACATGGTCTGCATTCGGCTAAATTACTTCTGGGCAATAATACAACACGTAGAGAGAAACTCAGGCTTCGAAAGATGCCTCGTAGATTTCTGGTAAAGCTATCTATTAGGGCAATCTATTAGCTAGCCACGTTTATGATGTTAAAACCAAGGACAGCTTCTTTGGTTTAGCAGTACACCGATCTAGACCTTACAAAATAGACTCTGTTTTTAACAGATAGCATTATACGTCTCTCGAGATGTATAATGTATTCTAGCCCCCCGCCTGATACAATATCTAGAGGTACCTCAGTAGGGATACAACTTAGTAACAGCCTTGACCACTCGAAAGAAGAAGATTCGAAGCTCTCCAAAACCACCCCAGGAGCTTTCCCACCTATAGTCTGTATCATAAGATTCAACAGATTCAAACAATTCAACTATGAGTGCAAAGACCTATTGCAGGAAGTGTAGATGCCTGAATGAGTGTGAACGGCGGTTTGAAGGCCTTCGAATGACTGAACGTCAGCAGAGACATCGAATTTCTTCTGCAGGTAGTCCCACAGTTCCTTTGAGGTCTCCATCTTGATGACTTCATGTCTGATTGCGTATGACACTGATGAATAGATAGCACTAATAGCCATTTTATCGAGCTATTCCCATTCTACTTTCTTCTTTTCGATCTTCTCGATTTGTGCAGTTGAGAGCTCTTTCTCCTTTCCTTTAGAGGAGGGGGATGAGGATGAGGATCCTTCCGCGGCGGCTGATGATGATCGAGTCACACTTGTTGTAGGTTGACTGGGCCCAGCTTCTGCAGACTCATCGTCGGTAGGGACTTCAGGACGTAGATACTTTCCTGAGACAATTCTCTATCCGCCTTGGGGTCTGAGGTAAGTGATAATACCCTCTGACCAGACCTGATAAGTGTCAGTGCCTGTCAGCAGAGGCAGCTTTGAAATGTCTACTGTCCGACTCATTGTGGACCGTAGTGTGAATACGACGTGTCAAATAGTATGACTTCACAATAGTCGTCTCCAGAGCCTAAGTGAGGTTGCTCAGAGATAGCTGACGGCTCCTGACGGCTCTAGCTCCTAGAGGGAAGTACGTCAGGGTCTTATCGCGAAAAAGCCACTAATGTCAAAGTACTACAGACTGAGGGTCCGCTTTTCGTAGAACTTGAAGACCACAACATCAACTGGACTCGCCGACCAGAGCTCCGTTTCGAACGATTTCGCACACTCATCCACGGCAATAACAGTCGGTCTGACAACAGAGTATAGCGAGTGCTGCCCAGCGGCAAAGAGGGTGGAGACAACCACATCTGCCCTTTTCAGGACACTCTCACGAAGGGCTCGGGTGGCGGTTCGAAACTGTAGTATAGTTTCCGGATCCAGGTCGCCATTCTGATACTGTGTAAAGTACTCAACGAAGGCTCTGTGTTCGCCGGCATTGCTCCAGGTACATGAATGAGGCCTGCCATTTGTAGCATCCTATATCCAAGGCTCAGCTCAATATGCACGACCCTTTTGTCCATCTTTGCTTTTACTGCCCGACAGCGACAATATTGGTTGGAGAAAATATAACATGTTATTCTGCGCGGTCCACGGTATTATGGTCCTTCATCCTGTGGCTCAACGAGGTTATTGTCATCCGGATCTGCCTGTTCCTCAGGTTGTGTTATATATGTCGAACGAGCAGGGCGATATCTTCGTGGGTCGACCGGGTGGTGAGCCTGGCCGCCCGCAATGCCTGGACATAGGCAGCAGGGTAGTCTGGCATCTTTGCGAAATCTCGTTTCGATATTCTTTTGGCAACTTCGAGTGAAGGCATCACATTTTTCAGGCGGTGACATCGCGTTCAGACCTTAACAAAGGCCAGAGGGCGAGTTATATGGAGCCGATTTAAGATCCCATGATGGGTTCTTAAAGCTTTGCAGGTCAATGCCAAAGGCTACGAGAGCATGTTTCCAGGGCCCACTTGCGAAGTAGTAACCACAGTGAGGAAGTGCTTCGATAGTAGGATTATATTGTCTTTCGACGATAGGCCATGTGTTTGTCGTGGAGTGATAATTTAGACACCATAGACAGCACCGGCCGCTTGGGATTTATATCCGGAAGGACCTGCTTTATCAGATACCAATAGGACCCTGTCGTCTGTAATTCCCGCCATGCCGCTCTACGTCGACTTATCAGCGTGGCCAGCATATCTGCCGAATCGTCTTCCCCACAAGTGTGTCGCCAGGTTTTACCATTGCGTCACACTTTAACCGCATCTTCAACCACGTCTTCCAAGAATAAGAAGCCTCTCCGAGCATGTGCTTCTTGGTATGTGAGAAACGTCCACTTCTCATCCTTTGTAACGTACTTGCCAACAGGAAGGTAAACCCCGGCCCGATTGCTCTACCACCATGGCCCATCTTCATTCTTTTATATGAAGGTTGCTGCCCTCGAAACAAAACGAAACAAGATGGTTGGGGCAATAGTTGCCCACTTCCCGATGCTGAGGTCGACCCGGTCAAAGGTGACTGTTTAGTATTGTCGAAATTCGGGCGCAGTCCTTGGGTCAACGCCGAACTTTATCATCCCCTTCTTCCATGGACCATTTCACACATGTCCACATAACGTTAAGGCTCCTTCGATATCAGTCGAACCTGTAGAGCTCATCCAGGCTGCACATTTCGTGTTTGAGCCTCGCAATATCATCGCATTGTATGAGGGAACCTCGCTTGGTACAACCACACGTGTATTCCTCCTTCATATAAAAACATCTTCAATCCATAACGCTTGGATATTCAGATACTCCATCCTGTGCAGCCGCGCGAGGCCAAATGTCAACTCTACCGGGCAATGATTGATCTCATCAGCGGTGACCTGGCGAGTAATATAGAGATCATGAACAGAAAGAGGCCGTCGTCGATATTGATAGCGAAGTAGAACAATCTTGTCACGGACAATATTGTTAAAATAAATGGCTGTTAAGCAGGAAGGAGGCACATGCGTTGTAGTGCTCGGGTGGTTACCAGCTTCTTCGGACAACTTGGAGTGAAAACATTGCAATTTTTCAGGCGGTTATATCGAACGGAGGTGCCTGGAACACGAAAGATTCCTATCAGATAATGAGCCGATTCTTCCTGCAGTAGGTTCGCAGCTTCCTGGCGTATCTTCATAGTCTCCTTGATAGACATCATCATGCCTTGGATAAATGCCGCTATCGTTCGGGCTTGCAGATGCGGAAGATTGGGATAGTTCATCACCTTCCATGTCCCCAACCACATACAGGACGTGTAATACGCGGCTAAAGCCCATGTTAAACGGGGAAAGGTCACACATAAAGCCAATTTGATCAACAAATTCTCATTTTAAATCCAATGAGCTTGAGCTCACCACCATAGAAGGCATCGATCCTGCGTACAGCGATATCCCCAAAGCCGAGCGGGAAGCTGGGTGTGTAGATAGTCCAGTGCGATTGTATACTTCCTAAACTGCTAAGTTATGCAATTCTCAAGGTCCCGTCCATTTGCAGAGTTCAAAGCTTGTACTATCATACGAAGAGTGTTAGCATGTGGACTTTCTACAACATTAGATAAAAATCGGTTTTGTTGGTAAACTCTGGACTGACCAAATACGTTGCAGCCTCGCCGCCATCATCCACAAGCAAGCGGCCTATCCCTAGGGCAGGCGGTTCACGTGGGACCCCATCAGCACCATCTTACGTGTGCGTGTCAAGGCACGGCCAGTCCCCAGCATCCCCGATGTCACGATCAATATTCCCGGTGCCTAGTTGCCAGTGGGCCTGTTCTGGAAGTGATCCATCGCTTGATTATTTTCCGTGGACCTGCAGATATAGAGGTGGAGATAGTGTTCGGGGTAGCGTTCCGCAACGGCCTACAGATGCGTTCAGGGTTAGCATATGGGTAAGGCTCCTGGCGCAGGGTATTTACTAGATACAACATAAGGGCCACCACTGGAGACTGGCCCATGGTGATAAGCTTCTCCTTCGACCCCAAAGACGATCGGAAAGACAAACTGCAGAGCGTGGTAGCTGGTGGCATCGATTAGAACGAGATCGCCCTGGTGGAGTCACACGTTCAGCAACCCATGAGAAACGGTAAGAACAAGATAGCAACGGCCAGCGTTGTTAGATCACCCACCTTCTCTTTCCATGACTGGGTCGGGTTGGTTTTCCACCCCTTAGCCGTCAATCCCTCTCCCGTGATGGGCAGAGTGGGGTATTCATGAAGGAGCCACTGCAATGCCGGGAAGGCAAGGAACACGCGGATGCGTTGGAAATTTGGTCGGGTCCAAAGCTTTCTGTTGCTGGATTGGAGACATGTGGTCTCGAGCCGAAGCATCTCGACGCTGTCCAGTGCTGGGGCCTCGCACGTAATATCTCGCACCTCAATCTTGGGTAGTGGCACTAGTTCATTCCCATTCAGCCAACGCTGCTACGAGCAAAAGAAATGCAAGAGGAAAAAAGGTCAGAAATTCTTTTCTTCTAAAACTGTCGGTCTCTCGGCTCAACAAAAGGTGCGGCAGGAGGACCCCGATAGGGAAGGAGCGTGTGTCTGCTACAAACGCGAGGAGGCTCGGCGAGAGATAAAGGACATCGCGGTAAGTCCTTGGTGAGAACGGTCGATGGTAGCCTTGACCTCGGTATCGGAGGTGCACTTATATGCGAACTTCTTCCCTTCCTCCTCTAGATTCTTGGGATTGAGATACTTGAGCTCTTCATCGTTGGCCCACCTCTTCCTCCAGAGCACGGACGCATATCCAGCCAGGTCTCCCGGGGATTTTTCGAATGGAGTTGCGGACATAAACTACCCTATCAATCTGGCTCTTCTAATCCTTGGAGATAGATCCCCGGTCCTGAGGTGATGTGGAATGTTATATATGACCTCTTCGATGTGGGAGATACGCAGCCAAGGTCTCGACAATAACACAGGGGTCACACAGCCACCTCAACCAGGGGCTACCGGTAGTGGGTGTACCAAAGGCCTTTTGTCCGCATTACCAACTGTTTATTGACCACTTTCAGAAGTACTAAACTAACCTGCAGAGCTGCTGGTATGAGTCATATGCAGGGAGCTACCACAAGAAGGGTACACCATTAATTCGCTGCGATACACTCTATTTGGGACATTTGGAGAGAGTGATCCTTGATAGATAGAGGAAAGAGAATATATAAGTCAAGTCAAGTGGCAGGCTCATAACCTGTAGCAAAAGAAGATTTCTTGATTTCCAAGTGCAGATATCTCAGGGAGAGTGCTATCTCTTAAATATTCGTCTGCAAGACTCTGGGCTACGTGGCAGCGGTGAAGTTAGACGCCATACTATTGAATTGACAATATGGGTGCATGGTCTGGACTCTCTTGTGTGTAACGTGTGATATACCGGGGGCGGGTGAGGTTGCTTTGATTGCCCAAAATACGAGTACTATATTTACAGATTGCAATGCAGGTGATCAATTCAGGATAATTCGCTCATTGCTTGGTTGAATAACTCATTCAATTATTTGGTTATATTATATTGAATTCAAAGAAAGAATATTGAATCAAAAAGGTACAAGAAGGTTACATGGAACGGCATCTACACGTCACCACCCCTCAGCCAAGCCCTAAAACGACGAAAAGCAAGAATCAAGCCACGGTCATACCACCCACCTAATACTCAAAACAAAATGCAATCTAAGTCCCTCCATGTCAATGCGACTTCCCCGATTACCTGCAACAAAGAAGATTCCTAATCGTACAACATGAAGCTGGCAGTCTTCAGCGCCAAATCCTACGATAAGCACTACTTTGACGTCACACTCCGCAAACAACACCCCACCCTTTGTGAGATAACCTACCATTCATTCGCCCTCTCATCCGAGACCGTATCTCTCGCGCAAGACAGCGATGCAGTCTGCGTCTTTGTAAACGACCAGCTGGACGCCCCCGTCCTTCAAACCCTCTACGCAAACGGCGTCCGCGCCATTCTCCTCCGCTGTGCGGGCTTCAACAATATCGACCTGCAAATCGCCGAAGACCTAGGCTTCTTTGTCGCCAATGTTCCCTCATATTCCCCCGAAGCGGTCGCCGAGTTTGCAGTGGCGCTGATCCAGACCCTGAATCGCAAGACACATCGTGCGTTCAACCGCGTCCGGGAGGGGAACTTCAACCTTGAGGGGTTTTTGGGCCGTACACTTTACGGGAAAACGGTGGGGATTGTAGGCGTGGGTCGCATCGGGCTGGCGTTTGCGAAGATAATGCATGGTTTCGGATGCAATTTGCTGGCATATGATCCGTTTGGAGGAGATGATTTCAAGAAGTATGGGGAGTTTGTGGAGCTAAGGGATCTATTGTCGCAAAGCGATGTTGTTAGTCTACATTGTCCTCTTACAGACGGTACGAGGCATGTGATTAATGATGAGAATCTTGCGCGGATGAAGAAGGGTGCATTGTTGGTTAATACTTCTCGTGGAGGATTGGTTAACACCAAGGCTGTTATCAATGCGCTTAAGTCCGGTCAGCTTGGTGGTGTGGCGCTGGATGTGTATGAGGAAGAAGGGGCACTGTTCTACAATGATCATTCTGGCGAGATTATCCATGATGATGTATTGATGCGACTGATGACGTTCCCGAATGTACTTGTTTGCGGCCATCAGGCTTTCTTTACGGAGGAGGCGCTCACTGAGATCGCCGGGGTTACGTTGGGAAATCTGGAGGATTTTGTTATGAAGAGGACCTGCAAGAACTCGTTGGTACGCGAGGGCCATTTGGTGGTTTCGATAGATAAGGAGCCTGTGCGGCTATAGTAGGTTGTTTGGCATCGACTGAAGTTGGCAAGGATGTCCCTTTATTCTTGCTGGAGACGTTGAACTGCCGAACGCTGAATTTATTCTATTATCTGGACACCTGGATGCCTAGGATCCAGATCAAACTATCTATCATGTAGTTATGGCCGATATTCAAACGATGATATTCATACATAAGATTCATTAGTTCATCTATAATCATTAGCCCGTGAGGTAAATATCAAGTTGCAATAATCGGACATCGCTCATGCTTCATAACATCAAACCAACTCAGCGTATAATCCTTAGCCTTGTCACGCGCTTCCCAAACCATCTGCGCAGTCTTGGCTGCGGCCGAAAAAGAAGAGAGAGATGTACGATGACCGGTGGTTACCAACCAGTCTAGTAACCCGCGTTGCAAGTCGGGATCCAATGCCTCACAGGCGGCTACAAAGCCAGGCCAAAGAATCACTGTATCATTCGACACGCTTTCCACACGTGCGTTGTCACTGCGCTGCAGGAAATCCAGGCATTTCCGGACAGTATCTTGGAGAATCAGAGCGCTTATGTTAGGAATCCGACGATAGTAGAATAGGATTAGGGCTTGGTGCATCGCTCGCATCAATAGCTGGGATGTATTGTGGTCGCTATCCTCGCTATTCTCAATGGTGTGACGTATTAAGGAGGGCTGGGGGCGGGATGGTGGCTCCCAGGATAGAATGTACTGCTCAAGGAGGCTCGCACGTTTTTCCAGGTCCTGGAGTACGTTGGTGTCTACCGTAGTGTTGCGATGTAGTAGCTCGCGTTCGTTGGCAACGCGGATTGTCTGCGACAGAAGAATCATCAATGATTCCGGAATCCCATATATATCCGGGTAGAGCGTGTCTTTCCACTGGCCCATCACTTCCAAATGGATGTCGTTGTGGCCAACTTCGTCGCTTTTCTCCAAGGTGAGATCAATCTCCTCGTCCAGGCTGTCATGCGCCACACGGAAGCTTCGTAGGGAGAGAGGGGAGGATTCAATCGCAAGCAAACTGGAACTAGGGCGGTCGGGGCATATATCAAGGAGTGCGCAGCCGCACGTGCTCTCAGCCATGATACGTATGTATGTGTAGACATGGTGAAGAGAGCGGACTTTGAGTGACTTGTGTGGCTTGGGTAGCCCTCGTATGCGAATGAGATACTCCGCGTCGACTAAGAAGGCTTGAGCATTGGAATTTTCTCCGTGGAATATCTAAAGTTTATTAATGGTGTAGTCGATGTGGAAAAAGGGAAGAGGAATATACCGAGAGCATGACCATCGAGAGAACAGCCATTAACAGCTCCTTATACTTGGCACGTCTTGATCCAAGAACTTCCTCATTGAGGGCCACCTCGAGATGTTGCTTGGCTATTTGTGTGAACCCCTTTGACGACATGTTCAGGTCTACGGCATTTGGATTGCGTGAAAACATATGGAGACAACTGGCGGCAAGCAGTGAGTAGAATAGGGAGAGCCTCGTATGACTAGCGGTCTGGTGGATACTGAGCTCTGCGTATGTACTCATTGCGGTGGGAAGATGGATTGCCTGCCAGGGACATTTCTGACAATTCTTCAACGGGAATGATAGGGAGATAATGTTCTCTTTGAAATATCGGAGTAGTGCAGGGGCCTGTGATGGAATATACTTGCTCCTTAACAGTGCAAGGGATGGATTGGGTATTAGAGACATTGGGAGGGAAGTCTGTTGACCGAGAAATTCATCGGAAACGATACCTACAGCGTCTGGTAATAGCACCTCCAGATTGTTCGGGATAGGGTCAACATCTAACGACAGGTCTGCTCTGGGCACGTCTTCCACATCTTCAGCTATGTCATAGAGCCCATCAAACAAATGGTTATCCTCTGCAATGGTAGGAGCAGAGTCCAGCGGAGGCCAGAAGAAGTCCCAGTCCGCTTGGGATGACTCGGCCGGGTCTGGCTGAGATGCATCGTGGCCACTTGGAGATGCCACGCTCAGTGATAGCTTCAGGACTCCAAAAGGACCTCGGAATGAATCATGCTCCCAGCATGATTCAGCTCGTCCATGCTCACCATCTAGCTTGGTCAACGCGGCAGTCGCGGATTGCCGACCGAGACTATCGACAGTCATTCGCGTCATCCGCTCTTGGTCCTCCACTGGCAAATGGGTTAGCCCCTTGCTCTTCGGTCGTCTATCATGAAATAATAGTTACCAGAGAATAATGGCCGGCGGAAAACCCGGTCTAAATTCTGAGGACTATCTTGCAGGCCGTCTTTGGCCCACATTAGTTGGCTTTCGTAGCCCAGACATATCAAACCCTGCTGCTGACACTTCTGGCACATTGGACGGCTTTCATCACACTTTACATGGCGACTGCGACAGGTCCCAGAGCCAGTGAGAGTGCGGTTACGTTGTAGCATTCTGCATATTTCAGATGATTTGCATAGAAGAGAAGGATGCGCGGGGGAATGGAAGGGAGACTGATGATATTTAAGTCGTACCTGATTAGATTAATTTACGGGATTTCGTCACCGGCTCTGCTGAGCCCCACCAACATACTAATTTAAAAATACCTTACTATTATCTAGGCCTCACGACCGCTAGAGACATTTATATGGTCATATTCATTCTACAGCTTGGCATTGGACTGTGATGCTTCCTCCTGCACAGCTCGCGGAATCTCCTCCTCAAGACTGGAGCCCTGTGGCTGCCAACCAAGCAGTTCTCGTGCCCGAGCAGCAGCATATTGAGCATTCGTTCCCCACAGCACGGCACCATGTGCAGTCAGTTTGTCTGCAGCATTGGCATCGATACTCTTGACGGTGGGGTCTTTGATAAAGCCTTGCTCAGCAGCAAACGAAGATACCCGTTGAGAAATCTCCCCAAACGGCTATAACCACTAATTAGAACGGCAAACTCCAATAATTATCCAAACGGGGGGGGGGGGGGAGGGCAGCATTGGCTCACCATCTTTCCATTCTCAGCAAAATAAATCCCATTCTCATTCCAAATCAATGGGTTTTGAGGGTTAGACGCTTCCTGCGTCAACCTCACAACCAATTGCGCAATATCTGAGACGTGAACATTGCTCCAGCAGCTGAGACCTCTGCCGACTTGGAGACCATGGCCGTGCTGAATAGTTGATTTTGCTAGATCTGGGAGCTGTATGCTGCGCTGGTTCACGGAGCCTCTTCCCCGACCGTAGATCAGTGGTCCGTATATAATGGCCGTTCTGATGTGAGGATTCGTGGCGGAGAGACCAAGGAGGAGGTTGTCGACGGCGCGCTTCGGCGAAGAAGTGATGATGCGTCGAATTTCGGAGATGCCGTGTAAATCATTGAATTCTTGCGAGCGTGGTTCGCCATAGGCATTAGCTGTGATATCGGGTCCGGAGAGAAGGCTTGCACCGGAGATTTGAATCCATACTAGTGTTTTGTCAGAATGCCAAAATTATGGGAAGCAGGAAGGGTTAAGAGAAAGCTGGAGTGAATACCTGGCTTTTGACGCTTGCTTTCTATCAACCCTTGTGCAATGGCAGTGGCGCTGGCTAGGTGATTTGAGCTGGCGAGGTCTTTTTCCACTTAGTTAGCCTGCCTACTACGATGAACAGGGATAGGGTCTTACGAAGAACGATGTCGGCCTCTGAGGCTTCACTTGAGATCTTGGCGGTGGAATCTAAGTCCCCAATGACCGGAGTTACGGATGGAAACTTGTTTGTGAGCTGAGATGCTCGACTCTCACTCCGAACTAGGGCCGAGATATGCGAGGTGCGAAAGGCTTGTGTGAGGGCGAAGAGAACATCCCCACCAATGTATCCTGTGGCACCGGTTCTGGTTGGATGACCGTATTAGTGCTATGTCTTCGATGATTTCAATCTCTTCAAAGTACTTACATGAAAATGCGAGACATTATCTAGTTGGAGAAGCAGCTGTAATCGGTAAGGCGATGAGAGCTAATTCAGTGCCAAACAATAACTGAGGAATGTAGGAGGTCATGGACTAATGTTTTTTATTGCAATTTAGTCCTAGTAGTTGTACATAGATGCACTTTAATACTGCTCGTCCAAGTTGGGGATGAATCATGATATACTTTAGGGCTGCCGGGAACTCCTGCCTAATTCCCATGGCACCTAATCCGTAATTGGTTCGGTGATGTAACGTGACCCACATCCGCTTATAAATGGACATCAGATTTGGCAGCTTATCGCGATGGGACTCCAAATGGGGAGACTTCAAGTATGTCCGAATTTGGGACACTCCTTGCTTGGCCGATCCTGCTCATACATCCAGATGCGTGTTTAGTAGTCACTACATGAGGCTGACTCACGGCAGATTATCAATCATACTTCCTGATCAAGAAGCTTATCACGATATATGGCAGTAACTGAGTATAGAGTTGACACGGATATGAGGGGCCTCATTTTTGGTGTGCGACATTGCATTCGATAGAAAGAACAGAATATATAAACCCCTAATCATACCATACATAATGAATAGAATGAAGCTGTCCGAGCCAGTACGACACCCTCCAAGAGGCAAATACCCTCTTATTTCTCCTCCCTAGTCAAAATGTCAAACAGCAAATTTCCCAGCACTCCCAGCCGTAACCACTACGACGTGGTGATTATCGGCGGTGCCACCAGCGGCTCCTCGATTGCATGGCATCTAAGCACAAACCCCAACTTCATAGGCTCAGTGCTTGTCGTCGAGCGTGATCCTTCGTTGCAATTCTCCGCCACCAAAGCCAGCAACAACTGCATGCGACAACAATTTGCCACCGCCATCAACGTAAAGATCGCACAATATGCTGCCGACTTTGTCAAACGCTTTGGGGCTGAGTTCCCACCGGACGAATGCGTGCCAGATGGTCCTATTCGCAACTTCGGAAACCTCTATCTGTCTGATTCCACGCAATTCACAGAGGTGCTGAAGGATCAACAATTGCAGGCCAGCTGCGGAGCGGGCACTCAGATTATTTCAACGACTGATATCAAGCAGAAGTACCCATTCTTCTACACGGATGATATCGACAGTGGAAGTCTCAATGTCATAGACGAGGGTGCATTCAATGCCCTTGGCATGGTCCAATGGCTCCGCCAAACGGCCTGCGAAAACGGCGTCGAGTATATTGGAAATGAAGTGGTTGACATGACCGTGGACGGGGATAAAGTCTGTGACATCACGTTGAAAACTGGCGAAAAGGTCACGGTGGGCACCCTTGTCAACTCTGCGGGGACTCGCGCCGCGACCGTTTCTCGACTGGCAGGTATTGACCTGCCTATTGAGGCCAGACGGCGGTACACCTACATCTTCTCTGTCGACGAACCACTCCCTCAGAATCTGCCATTAACCATCGATCCAACTGGTGTCCATCTCCGCTCGTACGGAGCCAAGGACTATCTCGTCGGTTGCCCACCAATCGGACCGGATACTGCCGTGGATGTCGATGATTTCAGCTTCGCGGAGAATGCATGGGAAGAAAAGATTCTCCCACTAATCACTCGCCGTGTTCCTCAGTTCTCCAGTGCACGTGTTACAAATGCCTGGATGGGCCACTATGAGTTCAACACATTCGACCATAATGCCATCGTCAGGGCTCACGACAAGGTCAATAACCTTTTCTTCTGCGTGGGCTTTTCGGGTCACGGCAGTCAGCAGGCACCTGCCTGTGGACGTGGTGTTGCCGAGTTGATTGTTCATGGAAGCTTCCAAACCCTTGATCTGAGTGTGCTTTCATACAAGAGGATTGTGGAGAATCAGCCTCTGACGGAGAGAGCGGTTATCTGAGCCATGAGTAACAATTATACACTGACTACATCAATGCAAACAATTTATAGCTATTTTCCAAACAGCAGCATACCGGACTGCCTATCACCGGGATGTAAGACGGTGATGGACCTGTAATATTTCTAAATGTTTTCATGCTTCCGCTTACTATAGGGACGGCGATTAGTTAGATTAGTTCATAGTAAAACGACAGGGTTAATTATAAACGTACAAATACATTTCTGTCCGCCTATATAATACTAACCTCGAACAAGAAGACTAGACAGCGGCAATCTCTCTATAATAAGCATACTAATTCGCCTCCATCCTATAGCAGAATGTACCATGTAAATATAATCAAAAATTGTCAACCTGCAGGTGCAGCATTACCCCAACTAGACACGAGGATAGACATCCAGCGGGCTAGGTCCCTGAGGAGTACCCAAAGTAGTCTCCAACTGGCTCTTCCACCAATCGACAACATTGCGCTGGCTCATAAAGACCCGGAAGCCACCAACCTCACTAACATTCTGCTCGTAAAGTCTGCCCTGGTCCAGGCTAACCCGGGGAACGAAGCTGCCCGCATCAGCCTGAGCCTTCTGCCACTCGTCGCTGACCAAGAAACTGAGCAGAAGCTTGGAGGTTTCCGGTTTCTTCGTGCTCGCGAGGATGGCTGCCGTCTGGGACCAGCTCATGCTCTCGTCCTTTTGAGGGTTCTTAATTCCCCACCAGTTCTCCGAACCATCGGCGGTGGTGAAAGTGATCGACCGAGGATTTCTTGTGTTGTTATGGGCGGCCGAGATAACGGCAGCGGGGGTGTAGGAGCCCCGTACCCACTGAACATCGTTCGCTTGAAGGGCATTGAGCCACTCAAAGCCGTAGCGGCCGATTATCTTAGCGAAGAGATACAAAACGGCATCATCATCGTTGGGATAGGTGAGGACCAGCTTTCCGTGCCATTTAGGGTCAGTGAAAGATGCGTAGTCGTCGGGCACCTCGGATTCGTTCAGCTTGGTGCTGTCCCAAAAGATACCGCCGAAGCCATCTGTACACCTTGTCAGATCATATTTGAGTTCATGAAGGAGGGATAGCTTACACTCTGCGATAGGAAGATAAGCACCGTGAGGATCACGCTCAGAAGCATAAATATCGTTCCACACTGTTGGCTTGTAGTACATAAGGCGGTTCTGCGACTTCCAGCGAGGGAAATCCTGCAGGGTCTGCAGGATAACCACATCGGTTGTCTCCCCCTTGCCGTAGAAGCCACGGTCAATGCGGCTCGCGTGATACTTGGAGAGGTCGACTGTCCAGTTCACCTGGATATCAGGGAAGCGTTTCTGGAACGCATCGATGATGAAATCGTTCTGGTTTCCGGCTAGCCATGCTGTCAGCAGTAGGTCAGGGCCAGAGCTGCAAGGAAACTTACCATCTCCACCAGAGGACACAATCAAAGGGCCGGACTCCTTCTTTGCGGCTTCGTAGATCTCGTCCAGAGTGCGAGTCTCCAAGGGAACATTTCGAGACCACTGAGCTTGACCGAGCGACAAAAGGCTCGACAGAGCGAGAAGACGATTCAAGTAAACCATGTTTTGATGGAGTTTGGGTCCAGTGCTGATGAGGTGAAAACTAAGTAGATAGATGTGGAAGTTATGGGGATATTGCCGGCTGCAGTTCGGGGATCGTCGCGCCTTTTAAGCAAGCCCTGAGTCTCTCGACATCCAAATTCGTCGAGTACCGTTTGAGAATTACTATCCCAATCGAATGCCTCTAGAATCCTTCGAGCGTCCTTGGCGCCGAGCCACGGCACAGTTGCTGTACCATAATGGACAATGATGCAGTAATTGGACAGCTCAAATGATAAATGAAACTAAATGCACGGGTCACCTAGCAGGCAACCGGCCGAAGAGAAAACCCCTCAAACCCATTCGAAACAATCGGAAACAATGTCCCTGTGTCTTCATAATGGGATACGGTGATGTGCAATGTATCCATAATCAATGTCTATATATTATAAACCATGACTCTACGTCGATAGTATACATCGATCATCTCAAGTCACTACATTACACATGATATGATACGTTTAGAGGGACGTCCATATCCGAGAATAAGGAAAGTAGCCTGAATTGAAGGATCCCTGTTATCCACTTGATGTGAATCCTACCTCAAACTATTAAACCAGATAGATTGATAATCACGGAATAATTCCGATGTTAAAATTTACACCCGTTGGATGATCCTCGATCCCAACGGTCAGGCAGAGATAAAAATCATAGAAGCTTCCTTGTGGCTGCTGCGCCACACGATCCACGGCGCATTATGCTTGGCTTGTACGAAGATTGCCAGATTACCAGTTAGAAACTCGTGGTTAATGCCAATTTTGGGCTAAAGCCCTGTGGTGTTGCATCAGAAAGCTGGTAAACGTGTGGGGAGGCACAGTCCAGACCCTCCTATATTGGGCCTTATTAAACCCTAATTTTATTCTTCCCAATCTTGGGCTTGGCACTACCTTAACGACGATCCTATTTCTACCGACTTGGCAAATACGATCTACCGACCCAGGCTTCAAAGTATATTCTTGGCATATCTTAGATACAGAGGATATACAGTACTCTGTCAAGCTCTGATGCGGTTGAGTGGGCTGACTCTTCGGTCAATAGGATTTATCTGAGGTCTTTGCCAGCCCTCAGATGATAATCATGCTAGCATAGCTGCTGGTGTAGATAGCTCGGCAGTGGGTGCTAATGGTTCAAGAACCGCTTCGCTCTATATGGAAACGAAAGTATCAATCGCTAGATTAATAGAGGTTATATATATTTCACTACACAATTGTATTGCAAATAACTTCAATGCCTATATACATACTATTCTGTTCTTAATGTTACTACTCCCTCGACCTGTCGGGTAATATGAAGTCCGATATCATAACATTTCAGAAAATAAGTACCCGGTCGGCCCTGAAACACGGCCTCCCTCTTCTATCTTTCAATAGCCTTGTGCTACAAGAAAAGTGGACCCCTTTGCAATACGATTAAAGTGAGATATTCACATTCCCTGATGTAACGCTCTGACTATCACAGCTTCTCAGCTCTGTCTACTGTGTGACGACCATCATAGAAGTCCTGAAAGATAGCTATATGATCTTCCATGTCCCCTCGTCAACCGCCCACGGCCCGTCCGGCACATTGTCATCCCAATTTCCCCTAAGGAGGCCTCCAAAGCAACAATATCGCCGGCGGACGACACTCGTGCACCAATCTCGACCACTCTTCACTGGGATTTCTCTTCTCCAAATCGACATGCAAACTCACCACCCGTCGATACCCGAATTCCTCGTACAGCCACCGTCCCATCGGACTCCCTTCAATGAAACTCTCGTATCCCAATTCATCGATCCGTTCATGACCCCATTGCATGAGCAGTCGGCCTACACCGCGCCGACGGTAATCAGGGTGCACGCCCATGGCGTTGACGCCTTTATCCCATCACCGTTGGATTAGCAAATACCATCGCATATAAGATATATATTCGGTCAAGAAAACGAAAGAAAGAAGTATAGCATACCAGCATGCTTTCTCTTAAACCAGGACATTCGATAGAAAAATACCTGAGACAGAAACGCACTCGTGTACTCCGCTCGTTCGGAGCCCTCAGGATACCAAGTACACGGGATCGTCTGTGGGCCATGCGGGAAAGGATTGTCATGGAAGATGAGCCATTCGCACCCGCCGGCAACGCGGCCAGTATGAAGATCGAGCACGTAGATAAAATGCGACGCCGGGTTCTTGATGTGCGCGGCCCATCGGATTTCGGTGTCGAGGGCTTTGTCGGCTTCTCTGTCCGAGGCCGTGTGGCCTGTGACGGGGTGAACGGCTGTAAAGATGGGGCTGTGGGATCACAATTATCATAGTTAGGGTTGGTTTTTAAAAGCGTGATTTGGGGCGGGGCTCAAGGAAGGCATAGTAGGAAGGGAGAAAGCTAAGTACTTATAAGGCTGGAAGTTGGCAGTCCAGAGGACGTCGACTAGACGGGCGTATTCTTCTTTGGTTTGGATTTCTCGGACTTCGAATTGGGGGTTGGCGTTGGAGTAGGTCATCTTCGATAGTCAGGTTAGGGGGGGGAGGGAGGGAAGTAAGAGCTTGACAGGAGAAAACTAACTAGTATGATGGAGTCTTAAGGCTTCTTTTCGGCTTTTATACTTCGGAGGAAAGTCCCCGAGTTCGGTGCACTAGGATTATTGTCATCATTTGGGGGCCAGAAATAAATAGGCCTTTGAACTTGCTTCGATTATGATGGCCAGCTGTATTATGGATCCACCAAGTATGAAGAGCCTGGGATTTCCGAATGGACGCCTTGTGAGCAACGAATACATACTAGCATATAAGATGAACGTGTGTACCCGATAAAAGCCTCGTCTATAGCCTCTTTACATATATTACCTAGAGAGATACCGTACACACCTCCCAAGTACCGGCATGCTATGCACAAATTCCAAAGCTCTGGGAACGACCCGTTGTCCATGAATGATCAAAGGAACCACAGCAATCAACCACATGAAGTACACAAATCCAACAGCCAGAGTAATGCGCAGTTTTTCCAGGATCGGCAACATGAGTCTGGCCACAACGGGCTCATCAGAACTACCCAGACTTCCTTCGGCTGAACGCTGCTCGAATGCGTTCGCCATCTGCCAAGCGACGCGGTTGTTTATCTTCTCCCATGTTGTATCTTCTGCGTATCTCCGAGCAGAGGTAGATAGAGTAAACCGCAACTGGCTATCAATGGAGACTTCTCGTACTAGATCAACAAAGTTATTTATATCGTTTGGGGGAACCAGGTATCCCGTCTTCTGGTGTTGTACAATATCCGACGGGCCTCCTTGATCTCTGGCAATAACGGGTAACCCACTGGACATGGCCTCCAGTACTACTAGCCCGAAGGTTTCGGTAATGGAGCAATGAAGGAAGATATCGCCCGAGGCATATGCGCGAGCTAGAGGTTGTCCGGTTAAGAACCCAGTGAATATGACATGTTCTCTGACTGCGTCGAAAAGACGATGGACTCGAGTTTCCACGACCGGGTTGCGGTTCCCTCCGACGATCAGTAGCTTGAAGGGGACCTTTTGTTCAGCAAACTTGACTGTCGCCTGTGCTAGGAACTCGAACCCTTTCTCTGGAGCAAGGCGACAAACACAGACGAGAACAATCTCTCCATTCGGGGCGATTTTCTTTCGATAGGCATTGTCACGGTGCGCGGGGTTAAATAAGGATGTATCAACACCACGTCCCAATCTAACGGTGCGCTCGACAGGAGCTCCAGCATCTTTCAGGTAGTTCAGTACAGCCGAACAAGGATAGAAGATGGTATGTACAGCTGGATGGCTGAACAAGAATCCTTGCACGGTGGCCAACAGCCAAACTGCGAATCTGTCAAGAGGTGCCGGGAAGATTATTTCACTGTAGGCAGAGAGATCTGTTTGGTAGTTGAGTAGCACCGTAGGGGGTTTCCGAAGCTGACGGGTCTGCAGTAGGACCTGGAAGCCTAGAGAGGCTGGGCTAGCGACGTAAATGATATCCGGCTGGAAGGTTTGTTTGTAGACAGTGTCCAAGCGAAACGGATAAACTATCGTCAGGTCTGGATTGTATGGCAGAGGATAACCCGGTATCCGTGAATCTGCAGCATCCTGTGCCTGGTAGCGGAAGCCTTGATAATGCGGTGCGACTACAGCCAGATCGACACCGTTGTGCCGAAGGTACTCCACCAAGCTCAACGTCGTCCGACTAACACCATTAACGGGCCCCAGCGACTCTGTAGTCAGCAGAACACGCCGTCCCTTGAGAATATTAGGAAAATCATCTGGTTTGGAAACAAACGACGCCATTGTGCACTGCTGGAATGCAGCGAATTAGAGGTGGCAATACCATGGTTTAATAGGACCATTTATCTTGCATTAGATCGCATTCATGGCAGATGACATGAAAACGTGAATAGCACATGATGGCTAGTTGATTTGACGATCTCCTGCGGGATGGAGGGCTCATTCTTTAGAGATGGACACAAGCTTCGTGTAGGAGGGCTTCGTGCGGGCACGTGGGGTGGCCGGTATCCATTAACCTTCACCAGTGACATTCCGTCTTCACTTCCCCGTGCATCAACTCTTCAAGCTCTTTGGGGTTCCCTACAACTATCTATGGCGCCCATCTGGCTCTTTAGCTCCTATCTTGCTTCATCACGTTCCGGAAACGCTCGTAGGAGGCATTCGCAGGACCAGTAGCCTGCCGGAAACATGTAGCGATTAACCATGCTAGTTTGCCTCGGCCACCGGGTGACCAGGAAAGGTCAGGTGTGCGATAGTAGACTGTATAAACGCTTTGGTCCCTGTTAATAATCTCATTGAAGAAGGTGCATGCCCGCAAACTGGATCATAATCTCGAATATGTTAGCAGAAAAGGAGACTCACCCGATGGACATACCGTCTTCGCCACTGGGCACCTCGGAGGGGAGTCTGTATGAGGACTCAACGCCTCCGACGACTCCAGCTTCGAGTCCTTTGTTCGGTGCCTCCAGAGGAGATGAGCTTGTCTCGTCAAGCTTTCCATCTTCGTCGGCTACTTATAATCTCAGCTCCGAGCAGAGAGTTCACGACATTCCCAGGGTGGTCAAAAACGTCTGCGTCGTAGGTGCGGGGTATGTAGGTACGTCCTCACTGTTACATGACTGACTGTCCCCTCAAGATGCTATTATACATGACATTAACTGTCCATAGGTGGCCCGACCGCTGCAGTCCTCGCGCTCCATAACCCGTCCGTCGCAGTCGAAGTCGTAGACCGAGACCCTCGTCGCATTCAGAGATGGGAGTCACCTCATCTTCCAGTTCATGAACCAGGCTTGGGCAACGTTGTCCGCGTAGCGAGGGACGGCGCAAATTTTGCGACTTCGAGTGCTTCCATTGCAGCCATCTTAGGGGACGTGAAGCGGAAGCCCAACCTATTCTTCACATGCGACTCAGCTAGTAGCATCGCTCGCGCTGACATGGTCTTCCTTGCGGTGAACACACCCACAAAGACGTATGGATTAGGCGCTGGAAGAGCTACTGATATGACAGCCGTCGATGAGGCTGTACGAGAGATTGCGCTCCATGCAAAACCTGGCGCAGTCATCGTGGAGAAGAGTACGGTGCCGTGTGGCACTGCTCAGCGGATCCGACAGATGGTATTCATACCCCTTGCTCTTCATTTCCTTTGCGATTAGGATTATTCTGGGGGTTTTCAAGAATCTGCCGTAAACCCTGATACAAGGATACTAACTTCACTATAGTTCGCCACCCTCCGACCAGAACTCCCCTTCGAGGTACTTTCCAATCCGGAATTTCTATCCGAAGGCTCGGCCATCGACAACCTCGTCAAACCTGACCGCGTCCTCATCGGATCCTCAGGGACACCAGCAGGTCGTCGTGCAGCAAACATGCTCACAAGCCTGTATTCCACCTGGGTACCAGCATCACGTATCCTCGAAATCAACTCCTGGTCCTCGGAGCTATCCAAGCTAGTAGCCAATGCCATGCTCGCCCAGCGCATCAGCAGTATCAACTCCATAAGTGCCATCTGCGAGAAGACCGGCGCCGAGGTCGACCAAGTAGCCAAAGCCGTCGGCATGGATACACGTATTGGACCCCAATTTCTCAAGGCAGGTCTAGGATTCGGCGGGTCATGCTTCCGCAAGGATATCGCCAGTTTGACATATCTGGCTGAGACCCTGGGGCTGGAAGACGTCGCGCAGTATTGGAATCAGGTCAATGACATGAATGCAATGCAGCGGAACCGATTCGCCAGAAAGGTGATTAATCGATTCGAGGGCAATTTGCATGGTCGTAAGATTGCTTTACTTGGTTTTGCGTTCAAGAAGGATACGGGAGATACGCGTGAGTCCTTGGCAGCGGATGTGGTCCGACTTTTGATGGAGGAGAGGCCGATGGAAATCGCCATATACGATCCTTACTGTCAGGAAGAGGATATCCTTCGCGAGCTAGAGGTGGTCTTGGCTAATCACTCGGAGAAGAATAGTGCCGTGAAGGTTCTTGCCGATCCTTATCTGGCTTGTTCTCAGGCACATGCAGTCCTGGTCTTGACGGACTGTGACCAGTTCCGGAATGTTCCTGCTAACTCTCGACGTCGTTCGTTGTTGGCCTATCAGCCAGCTGTTACTAGAGTGGATCAAGAAGTATATGATAGTCTAGCCGAGGTGATTATGGCTCCTGTCAAGCCAGAAGAGGAGACCTGGACGTTCAATGGAATATCCTACCGTCTTGCCCCACAACAAGGTTGCGCCGCTGATTGCGCATCCTGTCGATCAACATCCAGCCGACCTGCAACTGCCGAGCCGCTGGAGTGGGCGCGCATTGCTTACAACTTGAAAGAGCCCAAATGGGTGCTTGATGGCCGGTGTTTCCTGGACGTACGGGAGATGGAGAAATTAGGCATTCAACTGGATACTGTTGGACGGCGGCCTGGTACATCACAATCGAACGATACCACTAGCGTTGGTATTTGATCTGGACACTGAGACGACCTAATTAGATTGATACCCTACTTATGATTATATTGAAATTCGAATATACAGAATCAAGCAGATTATCAATTAAGCACTACAGCACGATCATAAAGATAAGTATGAACATACAAAACTATCATCATCACCATATCAATCATACAACAGAATCCCATGAAAGTATAAAAGAAGCTCACAAAGAAGCCTGGAACTTCCCATCAATCTCCTCCACCTTCTTCACAGCCCTCTGATAACCCTCCTCGGCCTGGATCATCTCCACATACTTAGCCAGATGCGGATACTTCTCCTTCAGCGGCAATCTCAACGACGCCGCAATAAGCGGGAAGCTCATCATAATATCAGCAGCGGTCAACTGCTGTCCGCAGAGATACGGTCCACCACCAGGGGCAGTCTGCAGACGCTCCTCGAGGAAATCAAAGTTCCCAAAGATATTCCTAGAAAGGAAAGCCTCTTCAACCTTTGACGCAACAAACCTCGGGATGGGCTTAATGAAAAACGGAACAGGGGCATCCTTCATGCCTATACCATACCATACCATCAGCCACCAACCACGCAAGCATCAAACAAACGAGAAAAACGAAAGGTTAAAACTCACGATCCATGACCAACTGAAACACCAAAAACGGCATCAGAGTACCCTCAGCATAGTGCATGAAATACCGGTAGCGCATCCATTCCTCCGTCTCGCTGCCGACGACGCCCTCCTTACCCTCGGGATAGCGCTTCGGGATGAGCTTCTCGCCGCCGAAATGGTCGCACAGGTATTCGGTGATATTACCCGATTCGGCAAGCACGAGCGGTTTCTCTGACTGCTCGGATTCAATGGTGATGACGGGCGATTTGCCCAGCGGATGGATCTTCTTCAGCTCCGGAGGAGCCAGCATCTCCGATGTGCGCTTGAAGGTCTTCAGGTTGTAGGTGAGGCCTAGTTCCTCGAAGAGCCAGACAATGCGCTGGGAGCGGGATTGCTCCAGCCTGTAAGTTTTTCTCGTGTTAGTGTGCTTTAATGTACGAGGAATATATATGAAAGGGAAAGGGAGAGACGGACCAGTAGAGGGTGATGTTAGCGCCTTTGTTTGCGTCCGTCATCTTGATGTATATCTATACTTTGATAGGAGCGCAAAAGTATATTGCTTTAAGTAGAGTCGATCAAGCGAGAAGCGATCGAGTTGATATAAAACCAGAACTGATTGCGGTATCGTATCCTATGACACTGAGTACAGTTTCTGACGTGGTAGATACGAGCAGCAGACCAATATCAGGAAGCCAGGACTCTTATACCGAGCAGATCTAGACTGATCGACTGGAATAATCTCCTCGTATTGCAGCGACCGAGCAAAAAGAGCATATCTGCCTCGGCATCTCCGCCTGTGAAACTGCGTCATCGGCGGGAGTGGGTCTTTCAATCCAATTCCTAGAGGGCCATTTTCGAGTTTTGGTGAATGAAAATCTTCATTATCTGGACTTTTCCCGACAATCACCCGATTACTGCATGGTCTTCTACATTAGCTCCCTGTAGGATAGACACGATATACCCTAATTAGGATAAAGAAGAAGTAATGCATGACTGCATAACATTCAACCATGCCCAACCAATCACATTCATGCACAGCACAACCTTACTAAGCAATGTGAGAAACCACGTGACATCACGGGGAACCTCACCTCGCCCAATTGAAGCTCAGCCAATTCAAGACGAAAGATAGGTGATAACGCTGTCCATTCTACACAACCGCTACCATGGCCGGTCCTAGCAAGTGTGAGTTTTTCTTCCATGGTTACGATTGATAGAGAAGACACTAATACTTTTCAATTCCAGCCCTGGTCCTTGACCCGGCCCTCCAGAAATACTACGGTACATTTCCTCCCCTCGCTTTCTTCTCCCGACACCCAACCCAACCAATCTTGACATGATATAACGATGGAATGTGATGGACTCTACGCTCTGTCGATGTGCTGTGCCGTCTAATGCTACGATTGGAAACATAAGAATGTCGAGAAAGACCACGATCAAGACTAATATTGTCGAACAGAGGTCAACGCAAACCGCTACAAGTACTTCCGCTGGACCCCGCGCCATGCCTGGTTCTCGTTCCTCTACATGGCTCTGATTCCCGGAACATTGGGCTACATTGCCTACAAGACTGAGGTGGGTTTGACTTTGGTTTCTTCGGCGAACTGGGGATTGGATGGGTTTCGGACTGACGGGTTTTCCTTGTTACAGGGCAAGTACGATTTCCGTGGGAAGCGGAGGGGAGATACCCTTGAGGAATTTTGATTTATCGTTGTTTTGCGGTCGATTGGTTTGGGGTGGATGAAAATGAAGGGTTTGTCGGAAGGATGACGACACTCATCGCTAGATGTGTATTTATTACGGAATATACCGCTTATTGTTTCTTTTTCTCTTCTTGGTACTTTGGTTGAATTGTAGATGAAGAGTGTGGATTATGTGTTTGTGGTACTTCCAGTGTAGGTGGAATGTGTTGTGTAGGATATGTGCGGATATATATATTTATATATATATTTGGGGTGAGATGCCTGATCTCCAACTTTAAAGTATTACTTTACGCTACGCATTCAGAATAGAAAAGCACCAAGCCATAGATCAGACAACAACTATATTTTCAGTACCGGGTATCCCTCAGGATCACAACTCCAGAAACTAATACAATCCGAGATCATTAGACGCAAAATAGAAAGAGATGTCGATTAATAAGGACTCCATCCTCTCCTCCCACGCCCTCCTCCTTCCGGTAGCCTCTCTCCCCGTCTCCAATCGCCTGCAGGAATGCGGTCGCCGCCGCCGCTGCCACGGCCTCCCCGACCTGGCCGGCCTGCGAACCCATTATCGCGGAATGCTCTCATGCCACCACCAACTGCCGAACCAATGGACCCCCTCCCAGAGGTGATCGGTGGTGCTACCGACCCATCCTCCAGTGGTGGCAGAATCGCGCAATCTACATAGTCTCCGATCACGAATCGTACGTCTTGTAGCGTTTTGTCGGCGTCGTGGCCCTGTAGCCGCAGAGGTCCAGCCCGGGGTCCCGCCCGGGGTCCCGCAGGAGCGCCGTTCTCTTCGTCATTCTCATCGCGGTACGGGCTGTCCCTTGGTCCGATCACCACACTGCCTATGTCCTTGCTAAGATACCGGCCTCGCACGTCGGGCCCCATCGTCGCTGCGGTCTTTGTGTCGGGGTAAATGAGGCGGAAGCATAGTCTTGTGCCTACGGGCGGGTCTGGTAGTAGCGACGGCAAGGCAGAGGTGAGGAGCTGTGACAATTCGCGTAGCGAGCAGGACTGCCAGGTGTAGATTTGAAGGTGGGCAGGGAGCGGCGGCGGGGGAGGGGAGCGTGCCCGAATGGCGTTGGGGCCGCTGACAGGACCACCGTATGAAGCAGGCGGCGACTGGGGAGCAAAGTCTGACAGGTGGTGGAAGTTGCTCACGCGGTAGAAAAGCTTCAGATGGAAGGGTGTTGTGGACTGACGGTCGATTTGGGGTTTTGGCGCATCTCGAGCGGCGGCCATGATACCGATTGTCGGGGGGTTCGATGGACGGTACAGTTGATCGTTCAATGAGAACTCAAAGAAAATATGGAGATACTATTCTTGCGTAGGTGTCTATTTCGTCACAGCATCAATCGGGGACAACAATGAGTGAATAAGAATTGAGGGAGTGAAATGTTTAGCGGAAGTGTTGCGGTTGAAATAAATGGAGAGAGCTTCTGGTTTTGTCACCCCGAGTTTAAGCTCGACCGCCGACGAGTTAAAGCTTTACCTTAACTCTAGTCTAGCCCGCCCTTTACTCTCGACCTCACGCCCGAAAACCAACTTTTGCCGCCTCCCTCCCCCCCCCCCACCCAACCAACTGGCACTGTTGTCAGTCACGGAACTTCTGCTACGGTCTGGTTCCCTTTTCGCATTTTATTTAAATCATTCTTGGTTGGCCTTTGCCCATATCGGCAGTCAATAACATGGATTTCGCGGCGTTAATGTCCAAGGAGATTTCCAAAGCCAAAGGCGGCGGATCATCGTCATCAGACAAAAAAGATACATCGAACCCCCCCGAGAAGAAATACGTTCGCCGCAGTGAATTAGAAGCTGCTCGAATCGCCGCCTACAATGAAGAGCAGGAGCGAGCGCAACGCGAACGAGAGGAGCGCATGGCTCAGAAGCGCAAATTGGACGAAGAGGAGGCCGAACGGCGCCAGGAGCGAGAGGAGAAAAAGCGACGACTAGCGGAAGAGTCACGGAAAAAGAGAGAAGAAGAAGAAGCGGCTAAGGAGCGAGAGCGACGAAAACGGTTGGGATTGCCTGAATTGCCCCCTACCGGTGAAAAGGATGAGGAGAAGGATAAGGATGAGGAGGAAGACATCCCAGACGAGGAATTGGTTACGAAGCTGCGTGAGATGGATGAACCGGCTCGGTTGTTCGGAGAGACACATCGCGGCCGTTTACGGCGGTATCGTCGACTCGTGCAGCGTTCGCTCACCCCCCAACAGCAGTTGTCTGATGGGCCTATTCCTACGACCCTGGAACTGGTCCCCGAAAAGGATATGAAGATTTCTACGACACTCCCTAAGGATACGGAAGGTCGCAAATATTTGTTCCGCCAGCTGGCTTCGTATTTCAACATGGTGTTAGGGGAGTGGGAGCTTGCATTGGCGAAGCGAGATATATCTGTCAAGCAAAGTCTCCAGGGACGACAAGCTTACAATGCAATGCTCCAGTCGAAAGAGAATATGAAGCCGCTGTTCCGAAAGTTCGAGAAGGTGGATGTTGATGATAGCGTACTGGAGCATGTTATCGAAATCGTCCATAATGCCCAGCTGCGGAGATACGTAGATGCAAATGATGCCTATCTACGATTGAGTATTGGAAAGGCGTACGTGTTGGCCCCTTGAACTAAAATTGTATACCCTGAGATAACTAACGGTGTACAGAGCATGGCCCATTGGTGTAACCATGGTTGGTATCCACGAGCGATCAGCCCGAGAAAAGCTGCACCAGAGCGACCAGCAGGCCCATATTCTAAGCGATGAGATCACTCGCAAGTATCTGCAAAGCATTAAACGGTGCTTGAGCTTTGCGCAGACCCGGTGGCCTCCAGACGATCAGCTGCAAATCATGGGCTAGAATTATGAAGATATTCTCTCTGGCCTTCGTGACTAGTTAGTGTACAATAATGATGATGATATTTATACCCGGTTGCACCTATACATTGCATCATTTTTGTGAACATGTGTGGCCCTTGGGGCGTGTAAGAATGCTAAATATAATCGATTTTATACATATAAAGGTTGCGCACCTGCCATCTAGATCTATATGTGATGTATGTGTATAGTAAAGAGGTTAGAACACATTGTATCGTTACCAGATTGCCGTTAGTGCTTTCCATATGCTTCCAAGCAAGCCCGACTTCTCGGGCATAGGGTACTCCGTCCGACAGCTATCAATCTTATCGAGTTGGACCTTGTGATTTCCGTTCCCGTAAACATCGTGGCCATCAATGCCTTGCATCAGCCCTGGAGATGATCCCTGTGATCGGGTAGAGACCACCGCCTTGGTCCTGGCCCTGTTTTCCCCAGTAAATGTACGGATCAGTTTGCCTGCTGTTTGAGCACAGCTGCCATGTGCGAACCGAATGAGAGTGTCGCCCGTCAAACTGCCAACGATGAAGATATTATTCGCGATCTCCATGTTTTCAAATGCTTTTTGTCGTAGGGTCTGTCCAGAGACCATCGGGTTTATTTCGCCTTTATCATCACATTCCAAGATCTCAGAAAGAAGTCCACGGTCCAGGTAACCGAGGGAGCCTCGGCGACCAGTCGCATACACCATACCGCGTACAGGTTGCGAGAAAGTGGTGCCATCATTTCGGCGGAAGGTAACGGTAGCAAATTCCTTCTCCATATCCACGCCGATTATTTCAGTATTTGGATATCCTTTATAAACCTCATCCCAAGCACGACTTTCGAGAAACGGGCTTGATGTCGTCCGCTTCACTCTGGTAGGACGTTTGTTGGTGCTTGGCGCTGCCGCAACAGCAGCTCGTTTCATCAAACGGTAGACCCCCGCGTACTCGGGGTAGGCTTGTTGGTGACAGCCCCGCAGGGGAGACGGCCGATTTTCGGGATCCCATTTGTATACATGAATGACCTTCTGATCCTTTGGTGCTGAGATAATTACATCTGCAGCTGAAAACCCAGACCCAATAATGAGAAGAGGGATATCCGGGACAGGTTGAAACGAGAGGAGTGGCTGGAGCAGCGGACGAGGCTGTATCACCTCAGAAAATATACCGCTCGCTAAAACCAAGTTCTTGCAATGAATATTATGTGACTGAATGAAAAAGCCACTCTCCGTTCTGGAGATACCGGCTAGGGTTTCATTGCTCTTGAAAACATCCGCAATCCCAACTGCTTCCGGATACATCCGGAAATATTCCGCCGTCTCCTGTCTACTGGGTCGGGTGAAAGCAGGGAGATCTTTGCCTGTGACTTTCCGATAATGCTCTGCGAAGGAGTAGCCCGGAAGAGATAACATAGATGCATAGCTCAAAGTCTGAATGTCCCAACTGGCAGGGACGCGATTTTCGGTCCATTGCCCACCAGGCCGTGGCGCATTTCCGAAAACCAAATGAGGAACCGCTTTTTCAGGCACATAGCGCCATTCGATATTTGAAATGCTTCCCAGTTCTTCCACATCTATACTAGGGCGGAAGAGGGTGTCAAATAATACATTAACCGGCAGAGCTTGGGTGGAGTAGCTCAGCCGAGAAGCGGCAAAATGCTCCGTCAGGGCTTCGACATCGGCATCTAGCAACGCCGGGTGATCTTTGAGTTTGGCATGAAGAAGAGGATCGGGATGTGGAGGATTGGGGGAATAATACGGGACGTGACCGTGCAGAATAAAGGACAGGATCATGGCCGAAGGCCCATTTCCTGTGGCGGTTACAGGTCAATCACGGCGCCCATTGGCAGAAATAGCCTTCAAGGAGTATGGCGACATACCGATTATAATGGTGTCAGTGTCCATTGAAGGCGATCTGTGAGCCTCCAGCCGCCCAGTCAGCGCGGAGCATTCTCGACGGGACATGCGATAGAGTGGCAGAGGCCCAGAAGGACAGTGCTTTCAATCGGTGGGTCTAGTCTAGATGATAATCGCGGCACCACTACCTTCCTGTGAAGGACATGAAGCCGTTAGGCCATCGAAAGAGGTTACATCTGAGATGGCAGAAAATGCTGCAAGAAGATGGCGTGAGAGGCGCACTTTGAGCGGATCACAAAAGTAAACTCGTTTCGCTGACAAAACTCTGGTCTAGCTTAGCAATCCTGACCCGATTATGGTCCGAACGGCGGCGTGGGGTGAACTATGGAAATTAAGCTTGGTTCGAGTCGCCTAGACCGGTGGCAGTCGGCGGGACATCATCTCGTATCAAAAGTATGTATGTACGAGTACATCAATCATTCCCCCCCCTCCGAATCTTGATAGAGTTGAGATAAATCTCAGTCACCCAAGGTCAAGAAATGAACCTTTTTGCAACCAGGGGCGATACAAGATACATCACCCATGGTAGCGTAATCGTTCGGTGAAATCATGGAGGGAATCCACCAGGGAAAACAATACCTAATTCTATCATAATCATGAAGTCGGCGACCTTCCGGCTGCGGGGTAGCCAGACTAGGATATTTAGGGCTTAGGGTGAGGAGACTTGGCAACCCTGTACCCTACCTTCCTAAAGGGGGTTAAGGCTGACGCGAGTTGGACGGAAGAGTAGGCGGGTGAATGATCGTCACCAGAGGCAGAACGACGTTGGAATCAGAAAAGAAAGTGAAAAGTGTAAGGGCTAGGGAATCAGAGGCAAGTTGCGCTGCCATGATTCCGTTATCCCGACTCTCGTTACGCCCGTTCTGATACCAGGAGTTGGCTCCGGCCTCCGCCGACCGCAACGATGTACCATCTGGCCAAGTCGTTGTATATGTACGCCACCAGCAAAGAGGGTAAGGAGAACACGCCGCGAGGCCATGCGCAGAGCTGCTTACTGACAATTCACTACGTAGAGTACTCTGTCCTCCTTCTCGGGCTAGATAACGCTGGCAAAACTACGCTCCTCTCGCAGATCAAGGCGCTCTACCAACCCCGTCCCGAAGGCGCCCCTGCTCCGAACCCTGGCAAGACCGTGCCTACAGTCGGCCAAAATGTCGCAACCATTAACCTCCCAGAAATGTACCTGAAGATTTGGGATGTTGGGGGTCAATTAACCATGAGAAACCTATGGCAAAGCTATTACTCAAGCTGTCATGCGATCATCTTCGTCGTCGACAGCACCGACGTCGGTCAAGACCCAGATATCACCCGGCTCCCTTCGAATCGACGACCCAGCTCTGCATCGGGCCCTTCGGGGGGCAACTCTGATGCGTTCACCGAACAGACAGTCGGCATCAATGCGTCTGGGAGTGACTTTGGGCGGCTCGACGAGTGTCGTGAAGTGTTAGAATCCGTCTTAAAGAACTCAGATGTGGCGGGTGTACCGATCCTGGTCCTAGCAAACAAACAAGATCGAGAGGATTCGGTAGAAGTGGTTCGCATCAAGGAAGGGTTTGTGCGCAAGGTCTTCGAGGGAGAATCTGGAGGCGCCATGCGCGACAGTCGCGTCTTACCCGTCAGTGCGCTTCTGGGCTCAGGAGTCCAGGAAGCTGTGGAGTGGGTTCAAACCCGAGTCAAGTGGAATAAGGAGGGAAGGCCTCCGATTATGAGATGATACGGCTCGCCAATTATGGGGAGCTCTATGTAAGACCGGGCCTGAGGTTGTCCCCCGTACCTGGATGAATTCGTGAAACGGCCAGGAACAGGTGCCTCTAGATTTCGCTTGGTGCCTTTTGATATTAGATCTGATTGGATTGGGGGCTTGTTAATGGCGCAGGGAGGAATTGTTCACACGCAAAGATACCTTAGTTTAATTGTTTATTTATTTTACCTTCGTGTTATAGATATGGTGTATGGAATGTACTGTGTAATTTTCAATGATATACCATGTTCCACTAAGCCGATCATGTATACCACGGGGCACCTGCACAAGCTACTGTCTCGGCACAGTTTTGAAACATTCGATGAAGTCATAGGTCTAGGCTTAATGTCCGTCTAGACGTTCTAATTAATTAACCTTTAATTCGGCACCATTATAGCTTCGCTGTGGTCGCGCGATCATCTCCACGGCTGGGCCGACAGAGTTAAACATAGCAACGTCATGTTTTGAAAACATACAGGGAAATAAGTAAAGGTACCGGTATTTTTTGACGCCTCAGACCCGTGAAAACAATCATGGATGTCGATGGTGGTGAGTTAAGTATGAAGTCAACCTCCATCAGCCTTGACGTCATAGGGTTGTTGGCATGCCACGGCTAAGTTGTGTCTACCCATCTGAAGGGTCATAAAAAGAGTGTATCGGCTGTAGAAGGTTTTCTCCTATAGCAGATCAAACAATCACTGCAAAATCTTTGCGTGTGTCCATTATCACGACTCGAATTATCCTATCACGCTATCTTCAAAGTCTACATCCAGAAACCTTCATCATGAGCACTCTTGACAAGATCCACTCCGATAACAACCCTAATCAGGGTTTCCATCCAAGCGCCAGCAAATCCCAGCATCTCACAGTCAAGAGCGTATGTGCATCTGAGCTCGATATCTTCAAAAGGCCATTGGCTAACCTTTCCAAACAGCATCAACCCGGCCGCAAGGTCTCTCCCAAAGACTATGCCCCTGAATTCCACGCAAAGACGTATCCTCCTGGAACTGCTCCCGCTAGCAATTCTTACACTCCCAACACCCAATCGGAGGTGGGCAGCCAGGCTCAGAACCCCAATGTTGAGCGATCTCACGGAAAGGAGTCCGTTAAAACGACTGCCGACCAGAGTTTGCAGGGTGCTACCTCTAAGGATGTGCATACCGGTCTAGGCCAGCCTGGAGGCGGCCAGACGAGCGCAGAGCTTCGCCATGACGGACAACAGCACCGGAAGAACCCTGGTAGTGGCCTTGAGGGTGTCGGAGCAAGCAAGGAACCCCGCACTGAGCGTCAGATCCCTGGCCTGCGCGGCCTTGAGCGGGATGAAGCGCAGGGAGGCCAGCATGGGGACAAGGGTGCGTTGGCTGCTGAAGACAGGCAGCCCGAGTCTGCGTAGACGCTGGACGCGGAATGGAAGTACAAGCCTCAGACCCAGAGACAGAGATTCCAGTCTCAGAAACGATCATTTGGTATAATGTCTTATATTATGTACTATAAATTTTGATGAGCACGGGTATCACGGTGTTAATTTGAGCGAGTCAAAATATATATTGGAAATCTTCACATGTCGCACAGATGAGCCGTAACAGAAGTTCGATTGTTTGAGTCAGGTCGTCGAGCTAATGCGACGTGGGCCACTTCTGGTTGAGTCGGCTATGTCCTTCTGTTTCAGCTTCTTTGGCCAGCTGCGAGCAATATCGATATTCGCGCGGGGGAACCACATCTCCAGAAAGACGTAGATTAAGACATCAATGACCACGCAAAGGCAAAACAGCTTGCCTGCCCACACCCCGCAGCCGTAGTAACGTTTCAGCCGGTCAATAAGGGCAAAGCTCCGTACCCTATCTCCACTCGCTTCCCAGCCTTGACCGGGATAATAACCGTAGAATTCTTCTGGGCTTATGTCCCCCTGAATACCCTTATATACACGTTCTGTGCGCTGTGCCACATCGGTCCAGGAGTACATCATCTTCACCTGATCGTGAAATCGATCAGTCCTCACTTTGTTGGAGCGCAACGCGGCTATGGCTTTGCTAGTAGCCATAACAAGGTCATCTTCTTCCGGCTTAGCGAAAGTGGTCATATGCTGAGGGAGCACTTCTGGAATACCACCGACCCGCGTACACACCACATAGAGGCCACAGCTAGCGGCTTCGACGAGGACTGTTCCGAAGGCTTCCGTTAAGCTTGGGTGTAGATAGATGTGGCCTCGGACCATGACATCTCGAACTTCTTCGTGACGAACGGGACCGAGCATCTCTACTTTATCTTGAAGTACGTTGCGTTCTAACATTTGCTCTAGATCGATGGCCTTGGGCCCTGACCCGGCGATGATGAACCGCACATTTGGATGGGACGAAAGAATTCTTGGAATCGTAGCGATCAACAGATCAGTTCCCTTGTTATAGAACAGGCGCGAGATCACGACGATAGTGATAATATCATTTGGTCCAATTGGTCTCGGCGGCTCTCCTTGCTCGAGAGGTCGGAAGTTTTCCGCGACAACCGCATTAGGGATTACGGAGACCATTAACGGGTCCAAGGATGCTCGAAGAACGGTATTCTCTTTACTATGCCGCGAAGTCAGCAGATGGTTCTCCGAATCCTGTTCTTGTGCCACTGGCATCAACTAGGATGACCGCGGGGTCGCGTGTAAACTCCAGCCCCGCTTGTTCTTACCATGTATGGCTGACACAGATGACATGGTCCACATCACTCAGCGTAAATTTAAGGAGTTTATTGGTAAGAATTGAACCCGCGTCAGCGAAGCCAAATAGCGAATGATCGGTAAAGACTGTCCGTAGACCCATCGTCCGGGCATGCAGGATCGCTTCATGGCAGAAGCTGCTCAAGCTTGCGTGTCCATGAACAATCTGAATCTGCTCGCGGATGACAATGTTGCGAAATATTGGAAAGAATGAAAAAACAGTGGGCATAGTGGACTCGCGGTATATGACCAGAAAAGGGACATGATACACTTTGAGGCCATTTGTAAGATATCGAACTCCCGTGCGACCCTTGTACGCATGGGTAATGATGATTACTTTATGGCCACGGTCGATGAGCTTCTGGGGGCCGATGAGCATCCATCCGGGCAAAGACGGTAGGATATCTTACGGTCGATAACTGGTAAATGTGACTTTCAATCCCACCTGGTTGTGGGAAGAAAAAGTCACTGACCATACTGTGCAGAAAGCTGTTAGATAAAGAAACACCTGGCGCAGACGATGCGACGCTACTCACGCAATGTTGTAAGGCATGTTGGCTATTTTTCTAGCTTAGAAGCCCAGATACTATCAATGGATCATAGTCCGCTGGTCTGTCCATGTCCGGACTCTATTCGTCAAAGAGTAGCATGAGAATATATCCAGGGGTATAACCGTCATCTCTTGAGCATGTGGTTGATTGCGCCGGAGCGGATCGACCAATGTTATTTCCCGAATGGTCCACATCCTGGCGGCAGCATGGGCGGTGTGGCGATTCTGCCGACGAAATAATCCCCGCTAGAAAGAAATATTTCGGAGAATCTCTTTCGTAAGACTGAAAAGTACTGTCGATCGACACCATTTTGCGCTGGTGGTGCGCTGACACGCTTGACAATGGCTGGTGACCACTCTGCGCATGATGTCTCTCCGAAGAAACGTTCATCGACCCCTTTGAGTGCGAAAAATTCCCACAAGAGGAAGAGAGATCTTGATGGCTCCGTCGTCACTACCTCGACCCCGACCAAGAAGCCGAAGAAAACTCAGAGCCCTTCGTCCACTCCTACACCACTTAAAGAGAGTCGGAAAAAGAAGAGAAAATCCGAATCAGCTGTCAGTGGTGCTGTTCAAGAAGAATCGTCCCAGGAAGAGAGTGCTGTCTCGCCGGTCAGCCGCAAAAAGGCTTCTTCAAGTAAACATGACGGCAAGGATAAACCGAAGAAGAAATCAAAGAAGGTTAAACGAGAAAGCTTACGAGGCAACAATGATTCGTCTGAGGAATCTGCGGATATAGGAGAGCCCAACAGCGATGAGGAACGCAACGTGAAAAAGCACGCGAAATCGAAGGATATAGATGCCATGTCAGAGGAGGAAGATAACGCAAAGCCGCAAAAGAACAAATTCTCTGGAATCTTGTCTAAATTTGAAAAGGCAATCAAAGCGACGGAATCGGCCAAGGCTAAATCTGGCGAAGAGGATGTCGAGAATGAGTCTACCGGACCCATAACCGCGGAACCTGTTATAGCTCAGGGCCTGGAGCCGTTGCCTCAGCCAGAAGCGGCCCCCGAGCAGGATGAGAAGCCAAGCTACTCCTCCCTTCCGTCGTGGCTGGCCAATCCCTTAAGGACTTCTGCTGAAGAAAGAACGCCTTTTTCGAGCCTCGGGATCGAGGAGAATGTCCTACGCATTCTTGAAAGCAATGGGTACAAGGAAGCGTTTGCCGTGCAGTCTACTGTGATCCCGTTACTCTTGCCGGGATCTAAGCATCACCCAGGGGATATATGTATTTCTGCAGCCACAGGTTCGGGAAAGACATTGTCATACGTCCTACCCTTGGTTACAGCTCTAGAGCAAGTCCCTGCTCCTAGGCTAAGAGGCCTCATCGTCGTGCCTACAAGAGAACTAGTCAAACAAGCTCGGGAGGCCTGCGAACTTTGCGCTGCTGGGTCCGGCCTCCGTGTCGCCTCCGCTGTGGGAAATGTGGCCATCAAAGAAGAACAGCGTTCATTGATGCGCGTTGATGAAGCCTATGGCCCAGAGAACTTCAAACTGCGACAACAAGATAAGTTAACGGATAATGATTGGCTGAATTTCAGCCTACAAGACTATATCTCAGATGCAGGGGATCAAAGTGAATCGTTGCCCGGCTATATTCGTAAGGCCGAACCCAATGTTGATATTCTGATTTGTACCCCAGGTCGTCTCGTCGACCACATCCGGTATACCAAAGGCTTCACCCTGAAGCATCTTGAGTGGCTCGTCATTGATGAAGCGGATCGGCTGCTCAACGAAAGCTTCCAGGAATGGGTTGATGTTGTAATGAATTCTTTAGACGCAAGAAAGGGCGCGGAAACTTTTGGCTTTAGCGGAAAGTTCCTCGCCAACCTTGGGCTTCCTATACAAACCAAGGACCCGAGAAAAGTCATCCTCAGTGCCACCATGACCAAGGATATCTCGAAGCTGAACTCTCTACGGCTTTCCAATCCTAAGCTTGTTATTGTTGGTTCAGCTGAACAAGCCACATCTCAGGAGGATGAAAGTGGTATTCATGACCGCATTGGCGATCAGTACACTCTGCCGCCTAGACTGAAGGAGTACTCTCTCTCGGTTGGAGACGGATCACAGAAGCCACTTTATCTCCTGCGCCTGCTTCTGTCACACATTAAGGTGGATGCCAATAAGGACACAAAGTGTGCTTTGACAAACACGTCCGAATCAGATGATTCTAGTTCGGAGGATTCGACTTCTGAAGAGTCTAGCTCTGAAGACTCGGACTCGGACTCGACATCTGATTCAGAAAGCTCTGATTCTGACACCGACTCTGAGACTTCTAGCTCTGACGAATCGAGCTCGGAAGATTCAGAGTCTGACGCTTCAAGTGATGACAGCTCGTCATCGAGTGATAGTTCCGATTCCGATGATAGTTCAGCATCTGAAGGCGAACCATCGGTGGACGTCAAAGCAGATAAGATTCGCTCGCGAGCCTCTGTTTTGATCTTTACTAAGTCATCTGAATCCGCCTCGCGACTTTCGCGCTTGCTTGCCTTGCTGGATCCATCTTTGGCCAAAGAGATTGGAACTATCATCAAGTCGAATAAGTCATCCGCCTCCCGGAAAACGCTCACTGCTTACCGCCAAGGGAAGATCTCGATCATCATTGCTACCGATCGGGCGTCTCGTGGTCTTGACTTGCAATCCTTGACTCATGTTGTCAACTATGATGTCCCAACAAGCATCACTACCTACGTGCACCGTGTCGGTCGTACCGCAAGAGCTAACAGGGAGGGTTCTGCCTGGACCCTTGTTGCACATCGAGAAGGCCGGTGGTTCACGAAGGAAATCATCCAAACGTCTGACAATAGAATTACCAGGTCCACTAAAGTACAGAAGGTTCCCATGAAGCTTGACAATATGAAGGATGTCAAATCGAGGTACAGGCAAGCGCTGGCTGCACTCGAGCAGGAGGTGAAAACAGGGGGAACAGGGAAGGCTTCAAGGACAGAAAAGTGAAACATCGCGCTGTAAAGTGCCATTAGTAAATATGATATCATATGCGCATACCCCTTTTGACTCAAGACATTCTTACCTCCTACGTGATAACAGCGTCGACTACTAGAGTAAATTTCGATCTAAGTGTATAAATTTCTGTGCGTAGCGGACTCTCACAAATGAGTATAACTTTATATGGATACAGCTACTTTAATGAAGTACTAACTGTTGCTTAGGCAGTATCTTAGGCCTCTAAACCCTCCTTTTGGTGGACGTTCACGACTCGCATGTTTACGAAGCTATACAAGTAGGACGACTAACACAAACATACTATGTATGTGAACCATATGTACTACAATAGACACGAGTGCCGAGTCGGGTTGCCGCTCTATTTCGCATGTCGTGGAGTGCTCCATCGGCTCCTTCTGTAGTAGCATACCTACAAGTAGGAGCCCTAGATGGGTCTACCAATACTCCGCGCCCTAGTACTCTGAGTCTCTGACCGGAAAGTCAGGCCT